CACAAGGAGGGCAAGACACAAAAGGTGATTGCTAAAGAAGCTGGCTGTTCGCAGAGCTCTGTGTCCAAGCACATTAACAGACAGGCGAAGGGACGGAAAAAATGTGGTAGAAAAAAGTGTACAAGCTCTAGGGATAACCGCACCCTGCAGAGAATTGTGACGACAAACCCATTCAAAAATGTGGGGGAGATCCACAAAGAGTGGACTGCAGCTGGAGTCAGCGCTTCAAGAACCACCACGAGGAGACTCATGAAAGACATGGGATTCAGGTGTCGCATTCCGTGTGTCAAGCCACTCTTGAACAAGAAACAGCGCAAGAAGCGTCTCGCCTGGGCCAAGGACAAAAAGGACTGGACTGATGCTGAGTGGTCCAAAGTTATGTTTTCTGATGAAAGCAAGTTCTGCATTTCCTTTGGAAATCAAGGACCCAGAGTCTAGAGGAAGAGCGGAGAAGCACAGAATCCACGTTGCATGAGGTCCAGTGTAAAGTTTCCACCGTCAGTGATGGTGTGGGGTGCCATGTCATCTGCCGGTGTTGGCCCACTCTGTTTCCTGAGGTCCAGGGTCAATGCAGCCGTCTACCAGGAAGTTTTAGAGCACTTCATGCTTCCTGCTGCTGACCAACTTTATGGGGATGCAGACTTCACCTTTCAACAGGACTTGGCACCTGCACACAGTGCCAAAACCACCAGCACCTGGTTCAAGGACCATGGTATCCCTGTCCTTGATTGGCCAGCAAACTCGCCTGACCTTAACCCCATAGAAAATCTATGGGGTATTGTGAAGCGGAGGATGCAATACGCTAGACCCAACAATGCAGAGGAGCTGAAGACGACTATCAGAGCAACCTGGGCTCTCATAACACCTGAGCAGTGCCACAGACTGATCGAGTCCATGCCACGCCGCATTACTGCAGTTATTGAGGCAAAAGGAGCCCCGACTAAGTATTGAGTGCTATACATGCACATTCTTTTCATGTTCATTCTTTTCAGTTGGCCAACATTAGAGAAACAAACATTTTTTCATTGGCCTTTAGAATATTCTAATTTTCTGAGATACCAGATTTGATGTTTTCATTGGTTGTCACCTATAAATATCAAAATTAAACATAATGAACATTGGAAATACATTGGTCTGCGTGCATTGCATGAATATAATGTACAAGTTTCACGTTTTGAATGGAATTACTGAAATATTTTCAACCTTTTGATGATATTCTAATTTACTGGCCAGCACCTGTATATCTGTATGTATATGTACAGATGAAGTATGTGTGACCATATGGGTATGCGATGCACTTAAATGTATATATGTATGAACAGGTATATGTGCAAAAATCCTTTTGCTTTTTGAATTGTTATTATTACAATTAACTTTCTCTTTCTTCTTCACAAATTGAACTCAAGTTAGCTAACCAGTCGAGCAATTACTTTGTATAGGCTAATTTATAATTATTGTTATTTCAGTGTATAAATGTCATTTTAGTTAAAAAGGGGCAGATAACATTAGTTTTCTTCTTTCTGTTCCCTTTTCATTTTCTTGGTTTGAGAAACCTTAATTTATTTGTTAGTATTGTTTTTTTTATATATTTTAATAATAAATGACGTAATTAATTAAAAAAGCTCCCTCCGTCTCCTACACATCTTTGGGGGGCAGATCTGTGGCCCCTCACACTCTATTGGATGCTCCTATAGAGAAACCTTACATATACAAGCGCGTGTAAGCACACAGGTGCTCACATGATGCTCTCATAAGTATGGATTTGGGCACGTTCAACACATGTCTTAAGGCTGCAGTTGGCACTAAATGCACTGTGATTTATTATCGTGTTGATTTTATATTTCATCATCAAGTTTACGCAGTGATAGTTTGCTCCTGTTGTATTGTTATGTGTCCCTTTTCTGCAGGTCTAGAAGCAGACTCTTGTTCATCGATTGTTTATTACCCCCCCCCCCCCTGTCTCCTTCTTTCTCTTTCACCTCTGTCTCCGTGTCTGGTCCACATTATAAAGGATTAAAAAAACAATGACAATACAGTCTTAAGTATCAGGCGTGACATGAAAAGCAGAAGCTTTGAGGCTCCACCTGAGAGTAAATCTGTAAGGCTTGTCACCAGCATTCAGACATCAATTCTGTTTTCTTCAAAGCCAGACAGGACACGGGGGAAGAAATATATATATATATATATATATATATATATATATATATATATATATATACATATAAGACACTGGATTTGTTGTACTGCAATTTAAATGAAAAGTAATGATGGGTGTTTCGACCATGCCAGTGTCATGTTGTGAGGGTGGAGATGGTGGACCAAGTGTGGTGGAGGGTTCCAGGAGGCAGAAGAGCAGGCACGGATGAAATAAAAATGGATTTAATAGCAACGGGAGTGACAGGACAAAACGAGACATGCACATACAATGATCCAACAAACGACAGGAGCAAAACAGGTGGTATAAATACACAAGGCTAATTAGGAAAACATGGGCAGGTTAACGAGGGACAGGTGAGAACAATACGGACTAATCAGGGCAGGAGAGAGACAGTCAGGAGGGCAGGGGCAGATCGTGACAGCCAGTCACATACTTCGAGATTTATCAGCTTTTTAAAGTTCATAATTAGCATGACTACACCAAAAATTGGTATGTCGCATATGTGACGTCACCACACATTCTTCTCTGCCCTAACATAGCTGCTACTTGCCACATGACCAGATTTATGGTGGTTCTTTCCTCCTGTGGGAAGTTTGTTGAACTAACAGCCCTTTTCCCTCAGTTTCCTCCGTGTCTGGATCGATGATGTTACATTTGAGATGTGCATTTGTTGTCTAGGACTTATTTTCACACAAAACCAAAAATAGCATCCGCCCCGTTCGAAAATAAACGCGTTCTTGGTATCAAAAGACGTCTTTAAAAATCACGGACATCATGTGTGAAATCAATGGCGCAAAACAAGTAGAATTAAAAAAATAGCATTTTTAGCCCCATTGACTTGAATTCATTTTTTTGGTCTTCCGGGGACCCATGGTCCGTAAGTAGATGGGCGTGACTTAGGCTCCCTATATTAAAGCGAACTCCTATCATCTGTTACCATGGCAACACAAGAAACTAAGGATCACTCTAACCAGATCTCATTGGAATAAAAAGCTGAATATTGAGCCAGTAACAAACCGCTGTTTCTGATCTTTCTGACCATTTGTACTTAAAACTAGAAAAATAACTTACATTTTATTGACCGTCAGAAGGCAGGAAACTGCCTCATCCACCTTCCAGCTCTCTGGTTGGCTGAGAGAGTTCAATAATTTTCTGGCTAAATGGAATTACACATCCACACATACAACAAATTGATCGGCTAAGCCCGAGGAATCCATCCATCCATCCATTAAAACATCTAACATCCATCCATTCATCCATCCATCCATCCAACCATTCATCTATTTCATACACAATCAGAACAGCTATCACTTTTAGAAATCAGCAAATGTTTCTAAATTCACAGTCTAGCTATTTGTGAAAATTTAACTATTAAACTAGTCTCACTCAAATTCCAGCTGTTTAAACCTTTCAACTGTCCAGTTTTTAAAATATATATAAATAAGTTAAAAGACTTCAGTTAATGTTTAGGATATTTTTTCTCCAATCTACACCTACTTTTCAACTTTATTAGACTTGTTGGTGATTTTTGCTTCTAAATCTTCAAGTACATTCAGCTCATTATGACAGTTTAGCTTAGTTTCAGCTTCACTTCAGCTATTCAGCAGCTTCAGCAATCAGTTCTGAATTCAGCATATGATGCTCATTTCACAGTTTAGCTACTTGTAAAAATGTAACCGTTAATCTAATCTTATTCAAATAACAGGTGTTTGGGCATTTCAGCTGTCCAGTTTTTAAACAATGTTCAAAAATTTCAGTTTTCTACTGTTTAGCATTTTTTTCTCTATTCTTCACTTTCTTTTTGAGCTTAATTACACTTGTTGGTGACTTTTGCTTCTAAATCTTTGAATACATTCATCTCATTTTGAAAGTTTAGCTTAGTTTCAGCTTAAGTTAAGTTATTCAGCAGCTTCAGCTTACAGTTTCAGCATCCAGCATTGACACAGCATTTTAGCAAGAAATGCAATTTATCCGGTAATTACAATTATTTATTTATTGTTGTTTTTTTTATTATTATAAATGTTATTATTATCAGAAAATATAAAATACAAATCCAACATTTTTATTGGAAGTTTGTTATTTTTTTAATGTTTTATTATTGTCTCCATTAAAAAGAGCGTGGAATGCTCCAAAACATTTCTGAAAATCAGACAAGAACACTGGGTTCAAAATAACAAACCAGATGTGTAATTTCTCTTTATTTGCAGACGTTGATGTTATTCTATTGATATTTTAAAACTTACTTATTTCAGTGGTCAATTGAAAAAAATCTTTAATAATTACGGTTTAACAAAAAGTTTAAATGCACTAGAATGCTGGAAATAACATCTTCTTCATCCAAATTGCACCATCACCATTTTTTTATACTTCTGACAGCCCTGAACTTAAATTTCTGTTCTGAAAAATCCTGACTTGTCAGAGAATGTCCGAATTTTTATCCGAATTTTAATAAACAATAATAGAAAAATGTCAGACATAATTATTAATGAAATAGCACCATTGGTATTGTGCTTTGACATTATTTTAGTCTATGATAAACGCTTGTAGTTTTGTTTAAAAAAATGATTTTTTTTAGGTCATGGGCCGTTTACATGTGCCACCCTTGCTCAAATTTGTGTCCCTACCATGCCACCCCCAAATTTAATTTCTAGACATGCCTCTGAAGTCACTGTTAATCACTTATCATGGTATGAGGCTGGCAACAGTGATCCAGTTTGTTACCTTAATGTGGACTGGTAAAGTCTAAGTCCGCCTACCACTTATTCTATTTCCCTGCATCTGTGTTTAGAGCTGAATGCTGACATCAGTAACTATTTGTTTGGTTTATCTTGAGCGTCCGTACCTTGATGGTAGTCTCCGGTAGGTTTAGGGCTGAGGCCAGCTCACAACGCAGGGGTCTGGACACATAGCTCTCCCTTCTGTACTCCTGCTCCAGACGAGACACCTGGTCTTGGGTGAAGGCAGTTCGGTGCCGCCTGATGGGGTCAAGCCTGGCACTGCGGGAGCAGAGGACTTGCAGTTCCTGGCTGCTGGGATCCAGCCCAGTTTTGGCTGGGTTCTGTCTGTGTCCAGCTACAGAAACCAGAGGATCAACATTTCAATTAGTAAATCCTGAAAGCCAGTGACAAGGAAACCAAATAAGTTTCTTCACAAATATACCGTTTGCTTCAACAGAACTCGCTTGACTCGAACCTCAGATTATCGTCTCAACAGAACTCACCTTTGGGCCATGCACCTTCAAACCTGCACACACCACTTAAAAGTGGCGTGAAATCAAGAAGCATGCAATTCCATGTTTTCCAAGTAATTGTTCTGGAATCAAATATCTTAACAATTTAAAAATGTTTTTGTATCTACTCACACATTAGATCAGGTGTGTGCAAAGTTCAAAGGAGGAAACCTGTGTGTTGTTTCAGCAGGACCATTGTACTACTGCAGGAAGCCCAAAGGAGATGAGACATGTCCCACACACATTTATACCCACCCCGGACACACACACATACACACACACACACACACACACACACACACACATACACACACACACACACACACACACACACACACACACACACACAGAGCCAGACGCAGCAGGCTGCGGCGCCGCGGCCCTCTGAGGTGTTAGAGGAGTTTAGAGATGAAGCCTTTGGTCTCCGTCTCGGCCTTTGTACTTTTGTTATGGAGAATTAAGACTCGCAGGCCCAGACACAAGCAGAGCCTCACCATTCTCAAGTGTTTGAAATTGATGATCATGGCCATGGTGGAGGTGATAAAGGAGTCAGTAATTTAGATAATGTTAGACCTCTGCAACCTGTGGCTCACCTGAGCAATAATCACAATGTACATGTCTTAATCTTAACAATAGCATAGATATTACTGCAGCATATAACTCATGCGACTCCTGTTACGGGCTTTGATTCTTCTAGTGGCTCTTTGACAATAAAAAGCCAAACTGTAGGTGCCACCCAGCTCTTCCAAGTAGATGCTGACCGTTGAACCTGTGTTTTAGAGTTTATTATGGCTATAATCTGCTCTAGAGGCCACATGATGATAAAGAGAGCAGAGACACGTAGGGAGCCCAAGTCTCCTCCCTTTCCGGTCGGCTCACGAGTCCCTGGAAGAACGAAAAAATGAATGCAAGTCAACGGGGCTAAAAGAGCTGTTTTCTAATCCGCTTTGCCTTACGCCCTGGATCACACATATGTTGTACTGCAATTCAGATGAAAAGTAATGATGGTGTTTCAACCATGCCAGTCACGTACATTGGGATTTATCAATTTGTAAAGGTTCGTACTTAGCATGACTACATAGGCATGTTGTATACATCACATCACCAAATATTCTCCTCTCCTCTAGCGTAGCTGCTACTTACCAAATGGCCAGATTTATGGTGGTTCTTTCTCCCTGAAGGAAGGATTTTAAGTTTGCTGAACTTACAGCCATTTTCTCTCTGTTTTTCTCCGTGTCTGGTTCGATGATGTCACTTTTGTAAGGTGCATTCGTAGTCCTGGACTTATTTTCACACTAAACCTGAAATAGCGTCAACCCCGTTCGAAAATAAGCACTTTCGTGGTATCAAATAGCTTCTTTAAAACTCACGGACATCATATGTGAAATCCATGGAACATAACAAGCGGAATTAGAAAATAAAATTTTTTGCCCCGTTCACTTGCATTCGTTTTTTTTTTTTTTCGTTCTTCCAGGGACCCATGGTCCGGAAGTAGATGGGTGTGACTGAGGCTTAGGTCAATGTAGGACATTATATGAAACAAATATGATACTGCAGAGCAGACAAAATAAACAACAGATTCTGCATAGAGGTGTGTGAGTAGTTTGATTCTACATTATTGATGTCAAATCAGCCTTGACTAGCTAGTTAGTCATGCTAGCATCCAAAACAAGAATTAACTTTCATTAGCAGTTATATCTACTATCATCTTCAAAGCAGCCTTGAAAAAAACGAATAAATAAAAAGAAAATTGTACATTTAAATGCTGTGACTTGGCTAAAACTGCCCCCATTGACAGCAATGGCATTTCAAGATCTGCTTTGGGTCATTGACCAGCTAGTTACAATAGGATGCGAAAGTTTGGGCAGCCTTGTTAATCTTCAAGTTTATTTATTTATTTATAAAGCACCAAATCACAACAAGAGTTGTCTCAAGGACCTTCACACAGTAAACAATACAGGTCAGGTCATTAAGGTCCTGTATAAGGAACCCAGCAGGTCGCATCGAGTCACTGACTAGTAAATGGCCTGTATTTGATATAGCGCCTTCTAGAGTTCTTGAAACCCCCCAAGGCGCTTTACAACACAATCAGTCATTCACCCATTCACACACTGGTGGGGATGAGCTACAATGTAGCCACAGCTGCCCTGGGGCGCACTGACAGAGGCGTGGATGCCGAGCACTGGCACCACCGGTCCCTCCGAACACCACCAGCAGGCAACGTGGGTTAAGTGTCTTGCCCAAGGACACAACGACAGCGACAGACGGAGCGGGGCTCGAACCTGCAACCTTCCGATTACGGGGCGAGCACTTAACTCCTGTGCCACCGTCGCCCAGTGACTCTGACACTGACTAGTGTCAGAATCTTTACAGCAATCCTCATACTAAGCAAGCATGCAGCGACAGTGGAGAGGAAAACTCCCTTTTAACAGGAAGAAACCTCCAGAGGATCCTGGCTCAGTATAAGCAGCCATCCTCCACAACTCACTGGGGATGAAGACAGAGCACACACACACACACACACACACACACACACACACACACACACACACACACACACACACACACACACACACACACACACACACACACACACACACACACACACACACCAAGTAGTGTTTCTATGGTTACATTATGATTTCTCAGTAAATATGATATTTGGCGAGAGATAAACTTTATTGTATTTATTCTAGTCTGGATCTATAATTAAACAGGTAAACTTCATGATTTTCCTGTTTAAATCCTTGGTTGGTACAATAAAAAGTTTCAGTTAAATATATAATATGGGAGACACACACAGTGATGTTTGAGAATTGAAGCAAAGTTTATAGGACTTACAGAAAAGTGCAATAATTGTTTAAGAAAATATAGGCAAGTGAATACATTTTGCTACTGTTGTCATTTTATTGATTTCAAAACCTTTAGAGCTAATTATTGGAACTCAACAATGGTTTGGTAAGCTCATTGATCATTGACCTTCATACACAGGGGAATCCAACTAAGAGAAATTGTCAGGTTATGAGGCTTGAATGACTGGCATGACAGGTGTTAAAGTCCATCTTTGAAGAAGTTTTAAAATCATAAACATCTTTCTATTTGGTGATTAAAATAAAGTTGATCACACTTTTCAGTGTTTGAATGACTCTCAGATGTTATAATTTGTCTTCAGCTATGCAAAAAGTCAGCTTCAACAAAAAGCTAGAAGAAGAAGATGTCACGATCTGCCCCTGCCCTCATGATTGTCTCTCTCCTGCCCTGATTATCCAATCCAATCCAATCCAATCCAATTTTATTTATAAAGCGCATTCACAAGGCATTACAACCAAACAAGGCGCTGTACACTAAAAATGTTAGTTAATTAAACAGGCGATATACAAACATGTCGAACACAGATAAAAGATAAAAAGGAAATACAACAAAATTCCCAAAAATAACAGCTAAAAATCAATAAGACACAGGGTGAATAAAAAATTGGAAAAACATTTTAAAAAGAACCTCAATAGTACGGATTAGTCCGTATTGTTTTCACCTGTCCCTCGTTAACCTGCCCATGTTTTCCTAATTAGCCGTGTGTACTTATACCACCTGTTTTGCTCCTGTCCTTGTCGGATCATTGTTGCTTGTATGTGCATGTCCTTGTTTTGTCCTGTCGCTCCCGGTCCACCATTAAAACCATTTTTATTTTTCATCCTTGCCTGCTCTCCTGCCCCCTGAACTCTCCACCACACATTAGTGATGGAATGATGATACCTCAAGGAGTGTATTGACACACTAGACAAACTGTGTCGGCACTGTATTGACACTGCGTTGGTCATTCAATAGCGACACCTGCAGTATTTCTAAAATCATTGCAGGTATATAAGATGGAAAAGCTTACATGCTGCAAACCAACACCAGGTGTGCAAGATTTAATTTCCTGTAATCAAAATATCATATCATTATGTAATTTAATTTACTCAATTTGTTAAGTTGTTTATGAAAGGAGTTTAACATTTGCTTATAACCTTTGTGTAAATGCTACAATGAGTTGGCATGATAAATCTTCTGAATGTGTCTAATAAAAATCAGAAGTAAAAGTTTTAACTTATGTAAATGTGTTAACCTCTGTGTTAGATCATATGAAATAAAAGCCTAAATATGGATTCATTTATGCATTTTTATTGAGGAACAAAAGTTTCTGCAGTGTGTTTGCTCCAAGGCGACTTCTCCTCTTAGACACCAGTTCCCCTGCCTTAGAAAACACTCTTTCACAGGGTACAGATGAAGATGGTGTGCATAAGAATTGAAGTGGGAGTTGATAAAGGTGTGGATATAAATTCTGGTTATTTTTCCAATATTGTAATGGGTCTTGTGTTCTTGGTGTGTTTCTTTCAGTAGCGTTGGACTCATCGGTTGGACTTCAATTATGGAAGTGGCTGTAGTATTAGAGGTCATCCTGCTCTCCTCAAGCTCCATATCAAGGTGTCTCCAGAGATTGTGTCCTAACAAATAAATTGGAAATAAGTCTGTTAATCATTGGTTTACTATCACATGACAAGCTTACACAGAAATAAACAAATATTCACAAAGAAATGTGTTTTCATACCTGAACTGTGTTCAGAGGGTGTGTAATAGACTATTTTTGACAATTCAGATTTTTTTGGGTGATAATTTCAACATACCTGGGGTATCTACCAATTCATCATTGCCATGCCGAGCTCTATAATGCCTCAGCATTGATGAAGTGCTCTTATTGGAGTAAGACAGCTCTGTGGAGCAGAGCCGACACTTCACCTACAATAAAATAGTTAATTTATCTGAAAACAATTTAAGCCTCTTACCAGAGAAAGACTACAAACACATTTAAAATACAGAAATAA